AATGGATGCTTACTTCAGCTGTCTCTTAGAAAAAGTTTACCATCTAACTATAATTTCATCTCAGAAGACTGACAGAAACAAACAGTGGTATAATGAGTTCTTTTTTGACACCGGTTATGAGAAAAAAGAGAAAAGAGAGTTTTGCTGAGAAATCTTGGTGTTCATGAGATACAAACGAATAGATATATAAAAACTATTCCATATTTACTTGCAGAGAAACTGAACAATTTACTATTTTACAGAATAGCCCCAGAGACTGGTGGGATTCTGAAGGACAATTTACTATAACCACTTATATGTGAATTGGTTGCATTTGTTGTTGGGCATCTAGACTGATGGATACCTAGTTCAGTGCAGCTCCAAGAAAGGAGATTGGCTGCCAGCTGTTAAAGACTGTGTGAACCAGACAATGGTGAAGAAGCACTTCAAATGAAGGCTTGGTAAACTGTAATCCTACAATTAGTTCAAATAAAAGGAAAGGACTGAATCCAGAAGCTGAACCTTTCCTGCTTGGGACTTAGTCTACCAGTCTACACTCCTTCCTGGTCTCCTTGGATGGATCTTCACCCAGGCCACACCTGCTAAAGGTGGTGTTCCCCAGGGCTCTCTCCTGGGCCCTCCTCTCTTCTCCCTCCATCATATTTCACTTAGTGATTTCATCAGTGCCTATGGTTTTAATATTATCTCTAAGATGATGATTCTCAGATCTACTTATCCAGCCCTCACCTCTCTCCAAATATCTAGAATTGCATCTCCAAATGCTTTACTTATGTCAAACTGGATGTCCTGTAACTCAACACGTTCAGAACAGAATTCATTATCTATCCCTCCAAATCTTTTCCCTTTCTGAACTTCCCTTTTACTAATGAGGGCACCACTATCCTCCCAGTCATCCAGGCCCACAACCTAGGTATCGTGTTTGAATCGTCCTCTTACCTCCCACATCCAATCTGATGCCAAGTCCTGTCAAATTTGCCTTTATAATATTTCTTGTATAGGTCCTCATGCATGCATATTTCCTCATGCATGGATCACTGCAATAGCCTGCTAGTTGGCCTTCCTGCCTCAAGTTTCTCCCCTTCCAGTCTACCTTCCACTCAGCTGTCAAATTAATTTTCCTACAGTATAGATACAACCACACCACTTTTTCCCCATCAATAAACCTTAGTGGTTCCCTATCACCTCCAGAATCAAATATATAATCCCTGTTTGGCATTGAAAGACCTTCAAAACCTGGCTCCCTCCTACCTTTCCAGTCTTCTTACACCTTATCCTCCCCCATCTACTCTCTGATCCAGTGACACTGACCTCTTGGCTATTGCTCTCACAAGACAATCCTTTTCCAGACTCCAAGCATTTCACTGGCTATTTCCTATGCTATTTCCTTCCTTCTCATTTCTGCCTCTCTCAAGTCCCAGTAAAATGAGAAGCCTTTCCTTATCCTCCTTAATGCTAGTTTATGCTCCCTATTATCTCCAATTGATCCTGCACATATCTTGTTTATATAGTTGTTTTTATGTTGTCTCCTCTGTTAGACAGTAAGCTTCTTGAGAGCAAGGACTGTTTTTCCTCTTTTCTTTGTTTTCCAGCACTTAGCAGACTACCTGGTACATAGCAAGTGCTTAATATATGCTTATTGACAGACTCACTGAAAAAGATTCAGACAGACTTCAAGTTCAGATTTAGGAATTCTAGACTACATTCTGATGATAACCATTATTAAACATATCATCAACAGGGGCAAAAAGTTAGCAATTCAGAGGAGGACTAGGTCTATTTAACTAGAGTTAAGACTAACTTACGATGTTACAACGGAATCACGTATGATAATACTAATGTTTACCTATATAATTTCTGCTCTGCCAGGCAATTTCACATGTTCATTGATTACTTACTCTTAATTACTCATGTTTCGGGTACTCTTGTTTTATTATTTGGTTCATCATATTTATTTGCTTCTGATAGTATAATATGTAGATATTTTAAGTATTAGCTACATGTAGTTTTGGTGTTTATTTGAATGTTACTCGTTTTGCATATATTGCTGTTTTATAGGCGTATGAGCAGGCCTGTTTTGCTATTTTGCCCACGTGCTTCTATTCTATGGCTATACGTTACTGCTGTGACATATGCATGTCATATGACCTGAGCAACCTGTTCAAAAATGCTTTTCAATGTCCCATGTCTAGTGCATGTACTGTTGATGTATATTTGGTGTAAAAAGTACTCTGAGATGACAACCTGAGATGTTGGGTTAATCACTCCTAGTTTCTTAAGTGCTGATTTTATTTTGATGTGTTATTCTAGATGTGAAGTGATTTGGCTGACTTTGCAAAGGACTGCAAAATTTCTGAACATAAGGAGAAACATAACAGTTCACTGGAGACCACTATCCAGTTCATCTACTGAGCATTTAGTCCTTCCTCTTCTTAGGAGGGTGAGGAGGCAAAGAATGATTTATATGTATCCTTGGAGGTAAAAGCTGCTAAATGGTGAGGTACCCAAAGGGAGAGACAGACAAAGCTGGAAGGTATATCTGGAAAAATAAAGGGGATTCAAGCTAAACCAAAGGGAGATTTTATTGATTAAAATTTTATAGCTTCCTAAAGTAAAGAAAGACTAATTGAATCTGTACCAAAAGTAACTTTTCCATGGATAAGCCTGAATCTAAAGCAAGTCAGGTAGAGAAAGGAAGAGATAGTATCCCTTCCCATGGAAAGATAGCCTTAGGCACCTTTAACTCTTCCTCAACTGGTTTAAGGAAACCCCTGCCCCACAGGGAATAATAGGACTAGAGAGAAACTCAAATTTGAAGTGTGAAGTTGGGAATGTGTGATGCTAGTCCACAAGAGGGTGGGGGACCAGAAATATGGCAATGGGATCTCCTCAGCCAACCCATCTGACCTGCTAGGCAGAGGGGAACTCTGCCTAACAATTGTTAGACTAGTAAAGTGCCTCAAGTTGCTCAAAGTTAAAATACTTATTCCCATTTTGGATTACAATCTCCCTTGGAAAGTGACTATATCTATCATATCTCAACTTTGTACTTCCCTCATATAACTTCTTGCACTTTGTAGGTACTATTAATATTTGTTTGTTTGTGTTTTTTTACACTAGATCTATGATTTCCTAAGCTCTGGATAAAAACTCTCTTTTACTTTTGCAGATAGGTTGCTGCTCTGCAATTTTATATATTTTTTTTTGTTTTGTTTTTTAGGCAATTGGGGTTAAGTGACTTGCCCAGGGTCACACAGCTACTAAGTGTCAAGTGTTTGGTCTGAGCCGAACTTGAACTCAGGTCCTCCTGACTTCAGGGCGGGTGCTCTATACACTGTGCCACCTACCTGCCCCTACAATTTTATATTCTTAAGAGAGGTGTATGGAGCACTAAGAGTTTAAGCGACACACTAGTTTGCACGGTTTGTAGGTCTTACAGGTAGGACTCAAATCAGATTTGCATGACTAAGACCATCTCTATCCACTATGCCACATTGGCTGTTAATGTTTAATGAATTAAAATTCTATAAAATGTAAATTTTTTTTCTTAAAAATGCTGAGTTATAATTACAGTTATAAAGAGATGATTTGGAAACTTTAACATTATAGTTTATCAAGTTGGTTCTATATTTTATGTAACTTTTAGACTTTAAACTTGGGTGGCAAAAACAAAATCCCTAATCATCAAGAGAAATTTCTAGCACAGCTCTATTTGCAAAAATAATGGCACTCATTTCCTTTATTAATTTTTTATGATGCACAAGTAAATTCAAAATTGACAAATGGTTTTTCCTTACATCTACTTCGAAATCTGACACACATAAAGTATTTTACATCCTGAATTTTCCAGTGGATGGAGTGTTGGGCCTGGAGTGGGGAAGAACGAATACAAATTCACACTTACTCGCTGTGTGACCCTGTGCAAGACACTTAACTCAGTCTGCTTCAGTTTCCTCATCTGTAAAATGGGGATAACAATATCACCTACCTCCCAGGGTTATTGTGAAGATCAAATGAGATAATAATTGCAAAACCCAGCACATGGCCTGACACACAGTAAGATCTGTATAAATGTTTGCTATTTATTATTATTAGCAACACATCACTATTGTTAGTATGATACAAGTAGTAAGATATTTAGTTTAGTTCAGTATCACTATTATTTTATTAGAATCACTATTTAGTTTAGTATCGCTACGATTTAGTTTAGGATTAGTTTAGTTTAGGATATGCCCTCCTTGAGGGCAGAGATTGGTTTTGTCTATATCCCCAACTAATGCTACAGAGTTGTGTGCGTGTTCTTTTTACACATAGGAGGCTCTTTCCAAGTGTTTCTTAAATTGAACTGAATGACGTATTGATCATTTGACCTTCACTTCCCATCTCTAAGTCTCGGTTTTTTCATTTGGAAAAGGAGCAGCTTGGCATACTTGATGGTCTCTTTCCAGCTCTGAATTCTGGACTGACAAGATAAATACTTCCTAAGGGCAGTTTCCCTAGGTGACCCTTGACAATTTGGGGGCGTGGGGGGTAGAGGAGTGCGTCTTCTGGATGTAATACCACCCCACACCACAGGGGGCGATGCGATCCTCCGCCTCGCTCCCGGCTCCGCAGCCGCCTCTTCCTCTCAAGCACTTACCAAACCAGTGTGAAGGAGAGGAGGGAGAGGACAGAGAAAGAAGGCGTGGAGGCCGCTGGCTCTCGTTCCTGCCAGAGTATTTCCTTCCACGAGTTAATTCGGCCTTCTCTCCCGCCAGACTCTCCGCCTGGCCGCCCTTTACAGAGAAAGCGGAGGCGACTGTAGTGACGATTGTCCTCTCTCTCCCCTCGTGGACAGGGAAAAGGATGTGGTCCTCTCACCGGGAGGCCTGAAGCTGGAAGCCGCCTCAGCAGCCAACGCTCCGCAGGGTGGCCAGGTGTCGGGAGCGCGCTTTGGGACCCGTCGCCGCGCCCCACCCCGCCCCCGGCCGCCGCTCGCGCCGTCTACTTCGGCGGGCCTGCCCATGGGTCTCCATGGCGACGGCGGGCGGGGGGGCCGCCGTGCGGCCCTCGCCGTGTTCGCTGCTGTGTCAGTCGTGTTCGTCCTCACGCTGCCCCCCTCATTGCCGGGAGGAGATTCGGGTAAAGTAAAAATCGGGCCAGCCTTCCCTGTCCACTGCTCGCAGTCACTGCCTTTCCTTCTCTGCCCCTTCTCGAGGTGGGTCGTGGGACCACACGCTCGTGGCCAGCCTCTTCCGGGCGGCGCACGTGGAGTCTCAACTCTGGGCCTGTCTGTGGAAGGGGCGGGGGGAGGCGTGTCGTTTTCTCCCTCTGCCCCCGGCCCTTCCTGCTCCCCGCCCCCTTGTGGCCAGCCTCTTTCTGCAGAGCGGATGGAGCTCCAGCTCTGAGGATTGGTTAGCTCTCTCCTCCGTGTTGCTCTGGGCCCCGCCCCCTTGTGACCAGTCTCTTTTTCTAGAGAGCAGATGGGGCTCCAGCTTTGAGGATTGGTCAGCTTCCCTCCTCCTTGTTGCTCTTGACCCCGCCCCCTCCTGGCCCTGCCCTTCCTGGCTAGCCTCTTTCTGGAGAATGTATGGAGCTCCAGCTCTGACCATTGGAGGCGTCCGCTTCCCCACCCACCTCCCCACCCCCATCCCCACCCCCATCCCCCAGACTCCTGAAGACTGTAAGCGCTTTTATCCTCCATCTCTGTAGCTCTTTTCCCCAGCCCTGCTAGTCACACAGGGAGTGGTTAATGAATGCTTGTCGACTGACTCTAGAGGCAGGGGGTGAGTTACTTTGCGTTCCTAGCCAAGGGCTGCCATTTGACAAGCCCCTTCTCTATACCTTGGACTCTCTGTCCAGACACTTGCCTTTTTCAGCCTCCAAGTTCAAGAATGTTTATTTCCTCTCTGCTACAAAGAGTATTTCTTTAGAATCAGTACATGATCAATCCTATTGATCATCCAGGTAAGTTGTCCTGTTTTATAGAGGAGGAAACTGAGACCCTGAGAGAGGTAAGTGACTTGGCCAAGGTCACACGGTTAAATAAATTGTAGAGGCAGGTTCATAGGCTCATAGATTTAGAGCAGGACAGGATCTCAGAGACCATCTAGCCCCATCGTACTCATTTTACTGATGAAGAAATTGAGGCCTTGGAAGGTTAAGTGACTTGCCCTAGGTTACACAAGCAGTAAGCATTGCAAGTAGAACTGGAAACTAGGTCCTTTGATTCCAGGGTCAGTGTTCTTTGAAACACTGGACTAGCTAGTGTTTTCCTCCTATCCACAAGTTACAGTGCACCATTTAAAAACCTTGAATGTGTCTTTAGCTCTTTTGAGAGAATTAAGGCACAATGCTTTTGCAGTCATATTAAATGAACATTTGATGATTTGGCGTAATAGCTCTAATAAAGCTCTAATGGGGCAGTTCACAACAAATCTCTCTGCTTGATTAAATCTGCTCATATGCAGCATCTTCATTCATCAAACTCATGCTAGGGGTAATGCTGTCTATTTGGACAAGTTGAATAAACAGTACTACTATTGTTTCATTTTGAGGTACAAAATCATTACTTGTCTGTGAGTTTACTTCAAGCCATTTTACATGAAAAGCTGGAGTAATGTAACATTCAAGGAAGGATGAGTAGAATTGCAAAAGATAGTTTATCTTCTTTAGAAAAGAATTCCTTGGCCTGCTTTGCATCCTTACAGCCCTTGCAAAAAGAATTTATAGTTTTTCTTATCTGAGCCCTCTCTGCTATCCCCTCCTTCCCCAAGAGATGTGAGGTGCCATCTCTTTTAGATGAGGGAAGTATAATTCTTCCCAAAGGTAGTAAGTCTTTAGAAGATCTTATGAGTTTTCCATCCTTAAGATGCTGTGATTTAAAGGCATTGTCAAATCATTGATCATATTGTACATAATTTTGCTAATAGTGTTTTAAGATAAGTATTTTGCCCATATAAATACTTTGCCCTTCAAATGGGTGTCACTTTGAAACTTTTCTCATTTGAAGTTAAGATCTTATTTTCATTTTTTAAAAATTTGGAAATGATGAAAAAACTTATTTCTATTATATGTTAATATAGTCTTTTATTTGGTAACCTTTCCTCTTGACTTTTGCCTGTGTGGAATGGAATATTGTATTTTTTTAGTGGAATGTTTGTATTTATCTGCAAGTAAGTGTTATTTCAAATAAAGTTCATATCATAAAACCAATATAAAATACTAATTTTCCTCCTTGGTGTGTCCTAAAAATTGTCTTTTGTGTGCCAGCTGGAGACATCACATTATTATGTTTCTCATCCTCCAGTTTAAAAGCTGACTTTTAAAAAGTTCGGGGACTGGAATGGCACAGGTATTTGAAGTCCTCTGACCAAATAGTTGTGGAAAAAAAAGGGCTTCGCTACAGTGTGATATTGTGGGGAACTAATGAATTTTTATGACTTTGTTAGTTAAGGGCAAGTGAACCTACCAAGATTTTGCATTAAAAGTATCTGCAGCGATTTTACTCCAACTTGCTATTCATTTGGGCCTGACTCCATAGGTTGGGAGAAAGTAGAGATTTTCTCAGGCTACTTACATATTTTATTACTATTTTCTCTCTTTCAAGTCCAACACTAAGTATCTATATTGAGCCTCTTGTCAAGTATGTATTTTAATGTTTTGTATCTGAAGCAATCCTTTTTCTCTGCTCTAAGTTGTAATGTAAAGGTCCTTAGTAGTTGGCAATGGAAATTTCAAATATCCCAGATTTCTTGCTAATTTGAAGCACCCAAGTGAAGTAAAATATAATATTGACTTTTTGGTAGGGAAGATAAAAAAAGGAGAAATGAAAAAATTTTAAAAACTGTATTTAAGTCACTTAAGAGCTAATATGCTGTCTTACACATTATGTATCGTCATTTTAAAATACTGATCTGTAAGGTCCCTTCTCCTATAATCCAGGGGATTTAGGTGCATATATATGTCTATTATGACCTATAAAATTACTCAGTTCAACAATTACAGAAATAAACAGAAGATTAACACTGTCATTTTTAAAAAAAAAAATCACTACCTCCTGGCATGGCATCTTGCACACGCAGTGTTCTTTCTTAATGTTGAATCAAATGGTAACAATGCATTAAATAACCTTGACCTTGCCATGAAATGTAACATCCACAGTTGTGCTAATTGCCTAGTATTCCACTTCACTTTGAATTGTGTCAACTTAGTCCATTAAGAAAATTTTAACCCTGGGCAAGTCACTTAACCCCAACTGCCTAAAAAAAAAAAAAAAAGAAAAAAGAAAAAAAGAAAAATTTTAGATTTCATTATCTTTTTCCTTAAAGTTGTTATAAAGAAAAGAAAGTATTTGTGTACACAAATAGTATCTGATTAGTCTTTAAGTTTTCTAAGTTGCTTTTAGGGATCTTGATGAGAAAAAAATCAAAGACAAGCAATTGACCCATGAAGGCTAACTTTGTGTTAAGCTGCAGAATGCCTCAGAGGTTATGGGTTTTAAATGATTACTAATTGATTTTTGGATTTTGGATTGAATCTATCGTATCATTGGAATAGAGAACTCCCAGTGAGTAAGCTCTCCCTTCCAGTGTGGATCGGTGCTTGCTCTAAAAATTATAATCTTAAAGAGTTGCCTGGGGCATTGAGAGGTTAAGTGACCTGCCCAGGGTCATTTAGTCAATATGTGTTAGTCAGAAGACTTGAACCCAGATTTTCCCAACTAAGGCTGGCTGGCTTTCAACCTATCATGCCATGCTACCTCAGAGTTACTAGTTTATGATAGACAGAAGTCTAGTTACAGTTTTACCATCATTTTCTAGCAATTTCTTAGCGTCAAGAACGACAGCTTTATATGCTTTTTCAGATCTTGAAATAACTAAATATGATAAGCATCCTTGGTGCTTTTGAAGCACAAAATATTGAAATTGATGTAAATTTCCCAATGGTTTTATTTTAAAAGAAATGATCAGAAATGCTATTTAAAGTGAATAGATTTTCAGAGTTGCATTGTCTCAATTTTTAAGGAACAATTACTTAGAAAGTAGGACTGTACCAATGATAGCCGATATAAAATAAATAATCTACTATAGGGAAGCCTTATTCTTTTATCTCATCATGGCATGAAGATGACTCTGGATTCTTGATGATGTCTGGCATAGACTGACCCAGGATCAGAGAGATTCATCACCAAATTGGCTTCAGGGTGATAAACTTTTTGCCCACAGCTACTCTGGAAGATCATCTATTATAGAGGGTTTATGATCTTTAGATAGAGGGAGCATTTACAGCATATTTACAGAAACACAGATCCTTGAAATATCAAAATAGCTAAAAGTCAAAAGTTAGCCAATCCCCAAATGTCTGAATTACTTAATTGCCTAATATACCACTTGACTGAATTGTGTTAACTTGGTTTGATGAATTCAAGATAGCCAAATATCAAAACTGAAGCTTACAGCAAGCATTGAATATGTTTTACAAATAATAAAAATTATTTAAACCACATCATATATGCTGTTGAGTATATGATTGCAGGCACAATTTACTTGGTACAGTCATATACATTTAAAGAACCAATGTAGGCAGCTCTGTACTAAATTCTTCAAGACTAATGCAGTGTTTGATAACAGTTTTGATACTTTTCAGCAGCTCCTTAAATCAAAGCATTTGTATGTTTTCAGGATTAAAAAAAATGCAAATAACTTAAGCATATTTAATAAAACTCACCTGTGCTTTCACTGACCAATTAAAAAGTACCAAAGATATTTTGTGCAACAAGATCAGAGGGAGAAAATATTCTTAGAAAATTTCATGCCGTTAAATCTCTACAGATTTACAGTTTTATCCAGGCAAATTAATGCAAAACCCCAATGCAAGCATTTGGATTTTGAAAACTTTGGAGGAGTGTCATTTTCTAATAGTAATTATTGGTTTTACATTATTTTTTCACAGGGGAGCTGATCACAGCCGCATATGAGCTTGGAGTAAGTATTAGTTTTATTGTTTAATCAATGCTCTCATTAACAGTTTTAGGAATTAAGAAAGTTTAATTAAGCATGGAGCAAAGTAGATTAATTTATTTTCAAACCACATTTTTTACTAACTTATAAGTACAGTATGTGACAATTTACTTTAAATTTGCAATCCAATTATACTAAATTATAAAGCAAAGGCTTTACTGTATATATAGTAGCTGTCTTATTATCAACCCAAATTTTGTATAAGCTGTGGAGAATAAAATAAATCGGGTTAACAGTTTTAATAAGTTTTATTATTTAATAAACTTTATTATGGTACATGATCCCTTTAGGCAAGACCTTAGGACTGTCAGTATGGTGGTAATCCAATATGAGTGTGGTCTTTCAACTTTCTAAGCAATAAAATATTTGGAAATCTCCTTTTTGAAATAGCCTTTTGAGTGACCCAAATTTACTGTGAACCTAATAAACAAACCATTTAAGAATTAACAATGAAATATATCACCCTTCCTAAGTAATATACTGTGATATACACTCTGCCTAGCCAATTAAAGAAAATACTTGTTTATATTAGCATGAGAATATGGGTACAGGGAAACTATTCAAAGATATGCCCATGGGATTCTAATCTTGATAATTTAGTTGAGAAAGGAGTTGTTTTTAAGTTAATATCAGTGTAAATTGTTTTGACTCAATGAAAACTTTGTGACTATTGCTATTTTGTCCATAGGTTGCTCATCCTCCTGGTTACCCTTTGTTCACACTGTTGGCCAAACTGGCAATTGGTCTATTCCCTTTTGGTTCCATTGCCTACCGAGTAAATCTTCTCTGTGGCTTATTTGGAGCAGCTGCAGCATCATTACTTTTTTTCACAGTTTTCAGGTAAAGTAATTGATAAGTCAAAAGAATTAATTTTGAGTAACTGGAAAGGTACTTAAAGGTAGCATTTTTTTCATGAGATCTGAGTTACATAAGCTCAAAATATTTTTTTCCCAAATGGTTTTTCTAACAAGTGATTTCATTTTGATAATTTCATTTTAGTGTCAGATAATTTCCTTTCAAACAGCTGCCCATTTGGGTTTGTTGCCTACAAAGAAGTGATAGTGTTATTCTGTCTCATTATCACATATCTCTTTTTAGGCAGAACTAATGATGTTTGTCATTTCTGAAAATGCAGATGGTCCTGTTGACAATATGAATTTCATCTTTTGGTAAATGGTAAACATAATTTCATTACTTACATTGTTGCTGGTAGGCAGCTGCTTTTCTATTACCAGAAATGATTTCCAGTTAGATTGTACTTTAGATACTATAATGTCTCATTTGTTTTTTTCAAAGAATAGAAAAATTATGCTCAGTGTATGTTTAGGCATTTTTTTACTGTTTCAAAGTAAATCAGAACCTTTTTAATTTTGCCCTTGTATTTGAAAGACTGTCTTATTTTTAAAATGAAGCAGTTGGTTATTGGTTTATTATTTTTTCTTCAATTATCTCTGATATTGATGGACTCTATAGTCATAATCTTACTGTGATCTGAATTTCAGAGGATTGTAGTGAAAAATAAACAAATCTTAAATTCTTCTTGAAAAAGAACAAAATAAACAATTTCTTCTTCCTAAAAACACTGCTATATTTCATGTTAAATAGCTTTTTTTAAATGACATTTTTGTCTCTGAATAGAGAAGCATTCTTAAAATACAAAATGTACGCCTATTTGAAACTGATTATTTTTTACATCGCCATTTTTGCTAAAGTCATAATTTAGTTCTATGGTAAAGATTTTAGCAAGATTTTGTTGTTTCCTTATTTTTTAAAAGAATAGTCTAGCTAACTCTAAAATCAGAAGCTAAGTGACCATTTGTCAGGTATATAATTGTAAGAATTCTTTTCGTGTATGGCTTGTATTAGAAGACTACAGAGAGGTCCCTGCAAATTCTTTGATTCTGTGAACTTGTAGCTTTTATTTTATTTTTTATATTACCCCATTCATATTCATATTTTTGTACTTTATCGTATAGTAAATTGTTATCTATATTTTATATAATACCCTTTCATTTTATCCTTACATACATTAAAAGTTATTTCTAAATCTTAAAGGTCAGATTAAAAAAAATAATTCTGTTTGGATTGATTAGTGTTAAGAATCCTTTTCCACTCTTCCCTAAGTTGGTCAGAATAATCTTTATTATAGCTGTTCCTACTGGGACTGCTATAATTAAGAATCTGTCAGTCTTTTCATTGAGAGGGAAGCTGAGTTTTCAGGATTTTAAAAAACCTGACATAATCTCTCCTAGGTTAAAATTTGGAAATGCGTATTTTTATGTGTATACATTTTAAAATCACATTCTATGAACAAAAATAAATTTAAAATTTGTTTATATTTCTTTCGACAGTTAATTGATATCTTAGAAAGCCATACAAATATTGATGTAAATATTGTCCATGCCAATATTGCATATTATCTACTAACATGAATTACTAATGCCATTCAATATGAGATCCATGACATTACGCCATATATAAAAGGCAGCACTTTAAAATGTCCAAGATAAACTTAGAATATAGTTTTCTTTTGAAACAACGTTCTTTTTAGAAAATGATCTCCATTATTATATTTGACAATACTGGTTTTTACATATTATAACATATTATCCATGATGTATTTTTTAAAGATCATAATCTTTAATTTGACATTACTATGCACATATTAGCACTTGTTATTGTCTTTCATTTAAAATCTATGTTTTGAAGAGCTTTATCTGTACTCTCTTACAATCTTTTAAAACATTTATTCATACTATAGTTGTACATATTTTCATATGAAAATGCTTCATTATTTTGAATACAAATAATTGACAAAGTACACATCCTTTGGGAACAACACACTTCGGTTGACAAATCTGTTTTGTCAAACAATAGACACCCTTCAGAAGGGAGCAAGCCATCTCTATGGTAATGGGACTAACAGTACCCTATTGATTGAGTGGAAGAAGACATTATACAATGTCAGTTGGGTTGTTACAATTTCATTTATCGTGTGACCTGAACTTAACCTTTAAAACCTTTCTTCTGTGAACATAAACCCAACAGCAGGGCATAGTTTTTGTATGGCCATTACAGTGAAGGCTTTTTTTCAACCTGACTATATAGTACATGTATTCCTTTTACAGATTTACACTTCTGTTAAGCATTTGTTTGAGATACATTTCACTACTTTAATCATTTACATGTCAAATCATCATTACATTTTGATGTCAAATTCACTTTTGTGTCCCTTAATTTAAAAAAAAAATTATGAGAACATTACTGTACATGTGGGATTAGTGCTAACTGGTGTGCAGTAAATTAATTCTTTTAACAGGTTTATGTTTTTCCCAGGTAATTGTTCACATGTCGTTCACTATATTTAACTCTTGAGGTGGATATAAAGACCTTCAGTTCCTTTTTAAACAAAGATTGCATTTGAAAAGCAAATTTCTATTTAAGTATATTGATTCAAAGAGCTCCAATTTCCAGTAAACAAGACTTTGAAAGAGCAATTTACTCTGTCTTTGATTACTATGTAATTTTTTTTTTGCTTTTTTTTGCATCTCTTTAAAAACTCGTGCAATGTCATTAACAATGTATTTTAGTCAATTCTTAGAAATGGGTGGCAACAACAGCTTAATATTAGCTGTGATCTTATGTTGTATGTGCACCAGGAAAATAAGATTGAATATTACTGTTTTAGAAAATATCCTCAAGAAGTAACAACATTGTAATGTTTAATTATGTACATTTCTTATAATTGCCAATGTGTTACTCATGTGTAGGAATATATTTGAGAATATTATGGGCATTCATAAGATCATAAGTATAGATTTAGAAGGAATCTCAGAGGTTGTGTAGTTCAGTACCCTCATTTTACAAAAAAAGGAAACTGAGGCCCAGTGAGGTTAGGTGATTTGCTCAAGGTCACACAGGTAGTCTCAGAAACAGGGTAATAGACTGCATTAGTATGAGGTCACATACTCATTCGAGGTAATGCCTAATTCAGTATAGTACTGTGTATCATGTGGCAATATCTAGTAAAAATCTTTTATGATTTTATTGTGTCTTCAAGGTTAAAGTAACCATTGTGTTCAGTGACTGAAATTTGATAGAATGATTCTTGAAGTATATGCTTTGAATTTCACAAAGCCTACTAATTTAAAGGAAAAAGTTCTTGTAATAACGCAAGCTAATGTGAACTTGATGAAAAACTACTATTGGTTATTTGAATTTTAAAATTATTTTCCAAAAAGTTATGGATTAGAGAAATTAAATGAAAAGTTTGGGTAACCATGAATAATGAAAGATTTGTGAGTATCCACATAGAGCAATGATTACCTTTCTTTTTTAGTGAAAATATTTGGGTACACTTGCAATCACTGTCAGCTAAATCTCCATACATCATTAAATTTCATGTGCATTGCTACAGTACTCTGGTATAAGAGTGAGGCATATGACTATCAATGTATATGTAAAAAAAACATTATTCTTTATATCGGGCTTAAATCGCTTTTGGCCCTGGAGTCTGTCAGATTTTTGTTAGGACTTTTTGCTTGTTTTTGTGTGTTGTTAGTAAATACAAGATAGAGGAATGAGAAATGCATTGTCACGGGGCATCACAGTGGATAGAGACAACATCTCTTTTGAAAAATTAAAGCTGAGTTTAGCTATTTAAAATAAGTTATGTTAAAGAGGATTCATTCAACACATTTATTGAACGCCTACTATGAAACTGAAAATGAGATTCACTTTTCAATAGAAAAATTTGTGCTAATCTTAAAGAATGTTAGAGATTTAATCATACCTACCATTATATTGTTAACCTGTAGGTAACGATTGTAAGACAAGACATTATATGAGAGCAAATGGTTTAAAATGGTGAAACCGAAAAGATAATAAATAGTAAATGGTATGCACTTGCTGCATAGTCATTAGAACAAATGCATGAGCATTAAGCTAAGTGCAAGATATGTCATACCTGTGTGCTGTAACTGTACTGGAACTGATAATATACTCAACTTAAGATTGTTTACATCTGACAAATTGTTTTGTCTCAGTGTTATTATTTATGGAAATCAGAGAAATTATTTTAAACATTTTTAAACATTTCATTGCTGTCAAATGATAATTTGATGAAACTTTTGTAAATTGATGCAAACTATTATCTTTACAGCTTTGACCATGATTCCACTCAATAATGAATAGAAAATGTAAATTCCATACCTTAAAGAATGTAGAATCTCCTGATTAAGGAATATTAGGCTTTTCCATTTCAAATATTATTTTAGATTATTGCCATAGAGAATAACGTAGAGGTTTTCCTTATTTCAGAAGTAGCTATGCATAAGTAACAAATAGTTACCAAGTTTTAGTAGTTGAAGAATGGAAAGTACTGAAGCATTAATTTCCTTTTAGAAGAATATCTGCTGTGATCCCTAGCTAATTGATCATATATTTTTCTCATACTTGTAATAACATTGCATTGAATCAAACTGTTTAAGTATGTTAAAAGATTGGTTCATTTGCATTTTTTTATAAAGCAGACATATTAGGCTCAAGTAGCAGTGCTTCATTGTTGAAGGAAAAAAGCAGGGCAAAAACTCTTTTTTTTTTTTAAGACTGTGGAGTCTATTCTGACAGCTAGTCAGAGTTAGAATTAGTTCAAGGAAATGTTAATAATGCACTGCCTAGCCTAATCCCTTTGATATCACCAGGTATCCTCCTGTTCATGGGTTAATTGCTTTAAAAGCGAAGGCAGTATTCTGAGCGGTGGGCCGCTTCACCTTTTCACAGCTGTTACCATTGAGTGACAACTAAATCCCATGTGTAAGATGAGGAAGAGCTCAATCTCC